AAAAACTTCACAGGCACACTGCAGGCTGCAGGAACAACATCCTGTGCATCCCGTTTTGCCGAATCTTCAACAAAGTGCAGTACGACAAACGCAAGACCGAAGTGGTCATACAGGCGCTCGCCGCTGTCATGGAGCACCGCATCGGGCAACAGCGACCCTGGCCCACAATCCCGCTTGAACCCGGCGTCAACGTCAGGCTCGGCATTGAGCGCACTGTCCGTGTACTCGTAAGGCCGGGAGGTGTACGGGTCAAACAGGTTGTTCAGGAAGTTCTCTCCCAGAGAAAGGGAAAGCACCGCCTCCCTGACCAGCGCGATTCCCGGCGAAGGCGTTGTGATGAAAAGGGTTGTTTTGGTCAGTTCAGCGAGCGTGTCAAGAATGGCCCCGCGCCTTTCCTGCGTGTAGGTGTCCAGCAGGTCCGCATCGGCGACTCCCTTCACGACCAGCGCCAGCTTCCATGCAAGATTGTGCGCATCGGCATAACCGTGATTGACGCCCCGTCCGCCGAAGATCGGCACCTGGTGCGCGGCATCGCCTGCCAAAAGTACACGACCTTTGTTGTAGGTCGGCAAACTGATGGCGTTGGCCTTGTAGACCGATGTCAGGACAAGCTCGTAGTCGGGCTTGAGGCCCATCAGTTCAAAGTGGGCGCGTATGCGCTGGTGAACCCTGTCAGGCTGCATTTCCTCTTCCGCATCCTGATCGTCCAGCAACTGGAAGTCCAGCCGCCACATGTCGAAAGGCGCCTTGTGCATCAGCACCGTTTTACCGGGCAGATAGGGTGGGCTGAAAAACAGCCGCCGCCCTTCAGGCAGGGGTTGCCGGCAGATGATGTCGTTGATGACAAAACGCTGTGAATACGACGTACCTTCGTACTCAAGGCCCATGCTGCGGCGCGTAATGCCACGCGGCCCATCAGCACCCACGACATACCCGGCCTGCAAGGGATATTCCCCCGCAGGTGTTTTGACTTCCAGCCAGACGCCGTCCCCATCCGCCTGCAAGCCTGTGACTTCATGGCGGTAACGGATGTCAATGTTGTTCTCCTTTTCACAGGCATCCAGCAGCAGTTGCTCCATCCAGCATTGCTGAAGGTTGGTTTGCCCATGCTTTTCATCAGGCGGCGATGCGATGTTCATCTCATGCACCAGCGCCTCCCCATAAAAGGTCCAGCCTGCGGACCAGGTCAGGGCCTTTTCCATCACCGCTGCGCCCACGCCCAGCTGGTCAAGTATCTGCATGGAGCGGCGGTTCATGGCAAGAGCCCTGCTGCCCTTCGAAATCGTGCTGCGGCTTTCAAGAACCACGCAGCGTACGCCGTGACGCGCAATGCCCAGCCCCAGCGCAAGGCCCACAGGGCCGGCACCAATAATGACTACAGGCGCCAGTCGGTCTACCGCCTTCAGGTCTTCAGGTGCGATGAAAGGGAATTCTTTCCATGTGAAATACATCGTTCAGTCCCGGTGTTTGTTTAAATCAGATGGCCCGGCAGGGCTTTTTTCGGCAGGCATTGTGTGCAGGAAGGACAGCAGGGCTTCATTGAATGCCTGCGGCTTCTCCAGGTTGCTCAAATGGCCCGCACCCTCGATGCAGGTCAACACAGCGCCTGGAATGCGCTTTAGCATCTGCAGCGCCACAGCCTGCGGATAAACGCGGTCAAGGTCACTGGTGATGATGTGGACCGGGCATTCGATGAGCTCCAGCGGGTCGCCCATGTCCTGAAGCGTTGAGGCTTTGAGGACTTCAAGGTAATTGACCGGACGCAGGCGTTGCATCGCGGTTGCGGCGATGCCAATCGCAGTTGCAGGCGCGCCCGGCGCCATCATGGCCACTGCCTGACTTTCACCAAAGTCCACAGGCACATGCTGGCCATCACCCACACGTGAACGCGCTTCAACAAATGCGTCAAGCTCTGCGGCCGTCATTCCGGCAAACCCGGGGCTGGTGTTGGCGAGCGTGAGGGAGGCTACACGGTCCGGCATCAACAGGCTTGCCGCGCGGGCGACCCGTCCGCCCATGGAAAGCCCCACCAGGTGTGCCCGCGGCACCGCAAAATGGTCAATCACGGCACGGATGTCGTCAGTGAAATCCTGTTTGAAGGCCAGCGCATGCGGCGGATCGTCGCTATCGCCATAGCCGCGCAAGTCCACGCTCACTGCCGTAAACGACTCACTCAGGGCCGCGATCTGATGCCTCCAGGTGCTTCTGTCACCGCCCATTCCGTGCACGAGAATGACCACCGGGCCGCTGCCCGCATACGTGATGCCGAGACGCGGCGACGCGGAAATGATCTCGTCGCGCATCACAGGCCCGCAGCATTGGCAGACACGGCCGCGCGCGCATCCATCAACACAAATGCCACCAGGGCAGGCTCTTCACCACGATTGCTCCAGGCATGGTTGGTACCGCGCTGTATGAGCACATCACCCGCTTGCAGCAGGGTTTCATCCACATCCATGACAGCCCAGATTTCACCGGACAGGACAATCGCGTAGTCCAGGGTCTCGGTGACGTGCATGCCCGGTTTTGTCCCGGGTCGCCCATCCAGCGCTTTGGCTTCGCCCATGGCCTCAAAGCTGGCATGCGCATCCCAGGTGTCCATGTAGGTGCGGTCAGGCGGAAACTGCACAACCCGGAAAACACTTCCACCGGCGGCAGGTGCCAGCTTGATGGTTGATGTGCAGGTTTCTGTGGCTGAGCGAATATCACCCGCGTCGCCAAAGGTCTTCCAGAGGTCAGTCACCACCAGGCCTGGCGCATGGGCTGTCTCCAGTGTGAAGGGTGACACCCCATCCACGATCAGGACGGACTGCCCTGAACTGTCAAGCCCGGTCACCACTCGGCGAATGGCTCTTCGCCCGGTATTCATGGTCTTCATTTTCTGTCTCCTGTCTTGAATGGACGCAATCCTAGGGTTCTGTCGTGTTATGCGATACATTTAATTTGATATCGCTGTTAAACGAAAACCGTTTAACCAAACTTACAACTGCCCCGG